TGGAGTCGACGTGCTCTATTTAGTCGTCCCGCCATGGATATTCCCTTCCTTGATAACTTAACCTTAGTTTAGAGTCACCGCACTCTATGTAGGTGTCTCACTGTAGACATTTACTTTCCCCCTGGAACCTTGACCATAGTCAAGAGTTCCTCACCCCTTTTGAGGGGAACTACAGTTGCTCTGATTCTATTCCTGTTAGGATACGTAGGTACGAGATGCAACGTCTTGGCGAGCATACTTTATACATATTTTGTATATACTTTAGATCTTTACCTTGGCACATTTTTCTTTAGCAATCCAACTTTAGCATAACACAATACTAACAAGAGGTTCTTGTAGAGTACTACAAATACTTAGGATGCTAACACCTTCCCTAGGTATAACCAACACTTGAACCTTAGATCTCTTAGCTTTGTTGTTACATAGCGCACTTAGAATTTTCTTCGATCTTTACCCTTTCCTTTGGATAAATCAAAGCTCGGTGGTGAACTTCATGATTTGTGATTCAAGTTAATTCAATAGCTTGATATCTGATTCTCACCGTAACACCTTGGTTGGACTAAGTCAAAACTAACACTTAAATTAAATTCAATGAAAATGTAGAAACTTGAAATATTAACGAAAGACAAAAATGATGAGTAAGAAGAGGAAAACTAAGGGGATCTCATCGGCGGTAGGGGAAAACAAAAGTGAAAGCGTGACGGCAGAGGTTAGGGCGTGTCTGGTGTGGCTACAACGTTGTTCAAGGTTAAGGGTATTTATTGTGGTTTTAAGGGGAGTTTGGGTTAGTGCGGAATGAAGTGTGTCGAGTTGTTGTTGTTTTTGTGAGCTACGCTTTTGAAAATTCGGTTACTTTGTAAAGTGTGTTGTTTTAATAGTGTAAGAAGAATGTTGGTTGGTTTTGGAAATCAATAATGGTGGTTGCAGTTGGGTTGTTTGAATAAACAAGGTGCGTGAGGTTGAAGATGATATGGAAGAGATGAAGGAGGTTTTGGAGAGGGCAGTTTAAGTATGGTAGCAGGTGGATGGAAAATGTATGTGCGTGGAAGAGCGCATGAACTGGTGGTGCTTGTAGTGAATATGAAGGATTTGAAGGTTTGTCGGCCATGACTTTTTGAAGGTGGAAATTGAATTAAAGTGCTGGCTTATGTGATGATGTTTTGATGGAGGTAATGGTTTGTTGAAGTGGAAGGTTGCAGCAGAAAAAGTCATTTTACAGCTTACGAACCGTTTTTTTTTACATAAGTTGCTATGTTATTCTTTTTAAAGAATAAAAGGAGTAGTATGTGAAGGTGTGTCTCGTGTTTTGCACAGTGGAGGGAGTATGTATGGTATTGGTATGTGGAAGGTAGAAGTGTTTTGTGCAGTGGAGGGATATGTTTATGAAATTATGAAGGTTTTGAGAAGTGAAAGGATGTGTTTGAAAGGTTACTTCATGTGGTGTTATATAAAAAAAAGTAAGGCTCTATGGTTGAAGGTAATGATATGTGAATGTAAAAAAAACATGAGAGTGTTGTTGTGTAGTGAGTGTGAGTTAGTTTAACATGAAAGTGATGAATTTGTGATGAATATCCTTACAGTAGCATGGCATTTTGAGAATGTGTTTTCTTTTTGGGTGAGCTTGGATGAGAGATAATGGAGAGTTTAAAGAAGGTGAAGACTGGAATTTTTCGTGTTCCCTTTGTAAAAATGAGTGAGAGTAAGAGTTTTGTGATTAGAGAAATTCCATTTGAAAAAAGCAAGAGATGTTTTTGGTGTCTTCATGAAAAAGTATTTGAGGGTGATATATGTTGGTGAGAAACATTTTTTTTAAGCGCTTTGTGGTGAGGGAATATGATGTGAGAGATAGCTATGTCCCTTCGTTCACCAAGAAGAAAAAATAATAGCTCTCTTTATATTTGCCATTTTTTATTTGAATTAGGAGAGAGAAGATACGTGCTAGGGAGGCGCCGCTAGTGTGTCTCCATTGGTTCATACCCTCGTTTCATGCAATACTTACTAATATATATACTAGGGTTAAAAAATAGGGTTTCCAAAAATTAACATGTCCAAAATACCCTCTAGGAGACTTAGTAAACAAGAATTACTTGAAATAAATGAATTAAAAAAAACAATATTTTTGACAATTTTTATTATTAACAGCAAAACGTTCATAATACTAAATGAAAATTACAGTAAAAATAAACACCCAAAATACACTAAAATAAAATCAAAAATAAAAATTCATTAATTCTATTTAATCATTTTGAAAATTTTGTCACAGAGAAAAATAAACGGACTTGAAATGAAAAAAAAAGTCGGACGCAAAAGTGCTCAAAAAATTAAATCGAGTGCACCAAAATAATCAGCGCGAAATAAGCCTATTGAGAAAATACAGCGTTTGATCAATTTTTGAAATAAATTTAGATCATTTAAAAGGTTTAGACTGATCAAAATGCGAACGAAAAAGGTGTTGAAAAATTAAAATAAGCATGCTGGGTTAAACTACACGACACGTAGATTAATATAAATGAGGTCTGTAAGCTCGATTTGGAAATTTTTCCTCCACTGATTTTATGGGCAGTTGAGATTCAGTTTGATCGATCTGTCTGTAAATCCAACAAAATTATCCTGGCTGACAATTTGGGCATTGTGCAAGATGAAATGCATGCCATGCTATGTAGATAATGTGAATATTGTGATAACTGTATTGATTCAGTGATTCATGGTCAATATTGGGGTATGACAGTTTGCAATTTCATTTTTACACAGTGGGTAATGTTGTATGTAACATGTGTAAAGGAATTTAATAAATGGATGTGATTATTTTGAATGATTTTGTTCTGAAGTGAAAGATGACAGGGATATGTTTATAAAGAATAAAAAAAAAGGTTGGAAATCTTGGCAAAAGAGAAAGAAGATCAACATCAGAAATTTCTTAAATATGAAGGATTAATTGAAGAACTTGAAGGGGCTCTCCATAACATAATAAAGTGGAAGACATTTTGGAGAAATTTATTTTTTGTTGACTTAAGTGTATTAATCTACAATTTATAAATGTAATTGTACTTCTCCAAAGTTTGTTGTATGGGATGAATAAGTTGTATTTCTACAATGTTGTTTTATGAGATCAATGAAATGGAATTATGCAATGTTATTTATCACCTGGTATTGTTACTGGTATAATTTGTCTAACTGGTATGATCTATAACTTAACTAGTTATAAATTGCACTATAACCTAACTAGTATGATTTGTAACTTAAGTGGTTATAAATTGCACTATAACCTAAATGGACAAATTGGTATAATTTAAGGGTTACAAATTGCACATATTTGACAAATTTGACAAATTGTTATAAGGGTTACAAATTGCACCATAACATAATTCACCACAAGAAAATATTGGCAAAATAGGTCTTTCATGGCACCATAACAGAATTCTCATATAAAGGTTACAATACATAGTACCAAAATACACCTAAAATATTATGCCAAAACACAGTTCCAAAATAAGTGACATTACAGACCTAAGACAACACATTGTACCAAAATATAGTACCAAAACATGTGACGTTACAGACCAAAATAAGACCTAAAACATCATAACAAAAATATCTATTTTTCTTCTTGCTTGCTTGAGATGAAGTAAGCCTAGTTGTAGGGTCTGCCACATTCCTTAATGCAGTTAACCTAGTTGTAGGGCTTGGTGACCCCACACTTCTTGTTGGCCTTCTAATGCTTAACTTCTTGATTGGAGTCCTGGAACTAATTGCTTTAGCCTTAACGTGAACTTGAATATGAGCCTGAGATTGTTGTGTTTGAGCTTGAGACTGAGTTGGTTGTGTATGAACTTGAAATTGTTGTGTTTGAGCCTGAGACTGAATTGGTTGTGTCTGATCCTGAGATTGTTGTGTTTGAGCCTGAGCTGGTTGTGTCTGAGTGGGTCTGAGCCTGAGACTTTTGTGTCTGAGACTGAGCTTGAGTTCCCTGAGTCTGAGACTGAGTTGGTGGATACTTGCAATTAAGATTGTCATGAACATTTCTTTTTGCACTTACTGCATTTAACAAGTAGTCTAGTCCTCCTCAGTTTGCGATCAGACCCATCAACTTCACCTTGCTCCAAATTCCTTTTCTTTTTAGGTCTACCTGAATTTTTCAAAAAAGTAGTGGCCGCACATCATTATAGATTGTCCTTTCCTAGAGTTTGGATCCATTAACAGGATAGATGACATGGCTGTATACCTCTTGATATTTACCTTTTTTGTACATATTTGGTATGTAACTCTCTACCTTGAAATTTATGCTTTTCATGGAAGCAATTGCATGTACACATGGCAAGGCTGTCAGCTGCCATTTCCTACAAGTACAAATTTGATCTTGCAAATTAACACTAAACTTATCTCCAACATTTTCAAGGTACCTAACCTCAAAGATATGCTCAACATACATTTTGGAAAACATTAGATAGTCTAAAAAGACATTACATTATGAGTATACATAACATAACATTATCAGTATACAAAACATAACATTATGAGTATACCTTAAAATCCACATGTTGGTATAATTATTAATCCTTGCAATTCTAATAACCAAAACATTACATTATGAGTATACATAACATAATAATTTATAAAGTACCAAAATATAGTAGTCTGTAAATTACCTCTTCATAATGTTGGGTAAGATGTCATCATCAGTAAGTTTTGCAAATCTCATCCTATTTTTTTTCCACCTTTCCATTGTGTATTTTCTGGTCTTTTGTATCATCCTGGCTATAAACTTATCTCTTTCCTCAATAATAACACTATTGAAGGCCTCAGACATGTCGTTTAACACACTATCACACTTAGAGGTTGTTCAACGTTCCATTTCCTTTGAGTTTTTTCCTAAATGTCCCTGATTTTCTGATTTGGTTATCTTCCAAAGAGTTTTGAATTTGTTTACTTAACCACTTTGTAGTCATGAGCTTCACATTGTATGATCTACTATAGTTATGCTTATCCACCCATTTCCAAAATTACCAAGAATCTTCATATGGTAACTTGCCACAATATGCATTATAATCACACCCTTCTTTACATATCACTCTTACCCTTTGTTTATCATTTTTAGAGAATCTCAAATCCCTTCCTGACTGGACTTCATAAGAAGTAATTGCCTCCTTAAAATCATTCTTTTTGGAAAAATAGGTTCCTAATTCCCATTTGTAGTCTGACATGTTCTAGGGCATTTTGAAAACAGGATACTCCTTCCTATGATAGTTACTTTCATCATCAGTTTCACACCCACTCTCAAATTCCCCACTATCACATAAAACCTTATCTTCACCTTCCTCACTATGTTTTTTCTAGCATCTTCACATTCTTCACTATGTTATTTTCCTTTACCTTCCGCCTCTTTCTCATAACCAAAAGATATGTAATATCCTCTTCCACTAAACCATCATTATCTTCATCCGAGTCATGAAAGAAAACATCTAAGGTACTGTCATACTGGAAAATCACATCTTCACTATCAATCATATCATCACCCCCATTAACATCAACATGATTATCTCCTATTTCACCATCACTCATATTCTAAGCCCCATTAACATTAACATTATTATCTCCTACCTCACTCTCAATCATATTCTAAACCCCATTAACATCAATATTAATATCTCATACCTCACCCTCACTCATATCCTCATCCCCGTTAACATCAACACTTGTGCCTCCAACCTCAGCTTTATTCAAGTCACTTACACCATCTTCTTTACCATTGAGAACTTCTTCAACCATTTTTCCAATGACAACTTCAGTTTCATCAACATTAACTACAACCTTAACTATGTTTTCAGTCTCATCCTCTATAGATTCATCATAATAATTAGGTTGAGAAACTGAATGTCGCACATACAAATGAACAATCTTATGTACCTTACATAAATCAACTATCTCTTGGGCATCTTTATCATCACTCAAAGTAAACAAACCAATTACTGGGTCCTCGTTTATTATAGTTCAAGAGTCCTCATATCCCAGTTCTTTAACAATTCCTAACACCTCAAAGTAACTCCACTTATCAACATCACACTTCACCTCAGCAAGTGAACCCCCATAACTTGACTCATCATCACCTTCGGAAAAAAAACCCTGGTGTATAACTACATGCACATATTCGTCCATACTATACCTAAAAATTACAAAATTTTAAATTAGGAACACAAAACCGTAAATCCATGACAAACCCTAAAATGCAAGCCCATATGAACCCTAAAATATAAATGGGCGAAGATTAAATTAAAGAAAAAGAAAATTACCAGTTTTCTTTTTAGAATCATGTTCGTGCTTTCTTCGTTCTTTCTTCGATCTTCAACAGTTCACTTCCTTCTTCAAAATCGTGTTCTTTATTCTAATCGTGGTCATCTTTCTATGTATTACATTGCCAGGTCATCATAAGCTAATACATGTGTGTGCCACCTTTGCATCGCAATTGACTTTGACTAATGTTTTGGACGATAAGGATAAACGTGAACCACTTTGAATAACTGAGGGATCAAAATGATCCTTTTTAAAATTAAGGGAACAAAATGAACCCTATACAAAAGATAAGGGACGGAAAAGGGTATTAAGGCATAAGTTTATCAGAGTTACAAGAGAATACAACTCTCTAAATTTACAATTATAGTGAAGTGTATTATATAGTGATATAAATGAAAGAGTATATATAGTGATATAAACAATAATATATAGTGATATAAATAAAAGAGTATATATAACAATAATAAAAAATTTCATTAAGAGGTCCAAGATGGCAGAGTACATAAATTATTTCATTACATATTGTCAATGTTGGAACAATAACCCGTAACAACAAAGGAATCTTCATAATCTATGACTCTCTCCTCACTACCCTCGTCAGAATCATAGTAGCAAAACTTTTTGGGCACCTTTTTCTTCTTCTTCTTCTTCAACTTTTTTTTCTTCTTCTTGGCCTTCCTAACCCTAAGTGTATCCCTGACAACAGTCGGTCTAGATGGCTAGACCTCCTCAGTTGACTGCTGATCATGGTGTTTTACTGTCTTGATTTCAGTTGAGATATTTCTATTAGCATTTTCAGATGGAGAACTAATGTTTCTATATGCAGTTAAGAAGAATAGTTGTGAAGAAGAGGAAATTCATTAGGTGAAACTGTGCCTTTATAAAGGAGGTTGAAGATGAAATATTTGATGATTTAATGCTTGAAAATTGAAATGATTACTTCCAATGGTTGATATTCTTGAATGACAATGTGATCGTCTTGAAAACTCAAGAAATTTTCAATCATCATTATATTTGGGAAGAGTGTTTCTCTCTTTAGGGAAGGGAAAAGATTGTACAGATAATATTACAATGGTTAATTATTAAATTCGTGATTAAATAATCTTCAATTTTTTATTTATTTATGAATTTAAGTGACACATGCTTTTTGTAATATGAAAAAATAGAAAAAAAATGGTGATGCCAGGATTTGAACCGTGTACCACTCACTCTATCACAATGGTTGCGTCTATCAACCGTGATAAAATGTCTTTAAAAAAAAATAAGGCGCATCCAATTTCATATATTACAATGGTGGATGAAATGACTGTGGTAATATAATGTTACCAAATGTGTATTTTGTAGTACTGATAGCTTCCTTAATCGATTACACAGAGATATTTTTATCCATAATCATTCAAATATGATATATAATCACTTATAGGTTGAATCTTTGTGGTTTTATGTGTTGTGTATGTTAATATCTTCTAAAGGTTTTGATGATGACAATTGATTAAGAAAGAAGTAATCTCAAGCATCATTAGTCTAATAAGCAAGAACAATAAAAAATGATAAATTTCTAGCTAAAAGAGCTAATCAAAGTTAAATCCAAAGAAACTGAAGTTAAGTTCCAATTGAAAGAGCTAGTAAAAGTCAAAGCAAACAATCAACAAAATGAGTTGAAATTGTGAATTCTCGTCTAATAATGGGCTTAATATTTTATCTAGTAGTTTAATTACTTAAATATAAATGAAGTAAGAGTAAGCTTGTGTTACTAAGGTGATGTGCACACATAAACAAAAGTATTTCAAATTTGTTATACTTTTATTAAAACTTTTTAAAACCTACCCGGGCAAGTATTTAATAAATCAAGAAGCTTTCAAATCAATTCGGAAAGAAAAAATAACATTTCTAATCGATTAGGCCATTAATATAATTGATTAAAACAAGAGTAACGCCTCATAATCGATTAGACATGCTTGCTAATCAATTAAGTGATGCCACAATTAAGGTTTCCTTTTTTGGATGAACCTATTGTATTAGGTTGATGTTCTAATCGACTAGGAAGCGCCAAAGTCCATGGATTCTTACCTTTTTGAGTCAATTATTTTCCTATATAAAGGAGGATTTTCCTCAAACACATCAATTTTATGAATTATCAACTCTTCAATTTTTCTTATTCTCACTTTTATAAATTTTACTCACTATAAGTTGTCTTAGTGTCGAGAGAGTGATAAACTGCATCTAAGAGTTCTAGTGATCTAGTTTTGTCCTAAATTTATTTATTCAAAAGCTCAGTTCTCTTATGATCTTTTAAAAATTTTAAAGGTTGCAAGCTAAACTTGTAAAAAGCTAGGTTTAAGGTTGTTTGTGTAAGGTTGTTGAGATGATCCTGTGTAAAAGCCCAAGTTGTTTATGGTTGTTGGACTTTGCAAAAGTTATAGTTTAAGGTTGTTAGGTTGATCCTAAGTAAAAACTTAAATTATTATTTAGTGGAAATCTCAAGAGGAAACTCTTTGGGACTTGAGTAAGCTACATGGATTAAGAAACTATAAAACTCCCTTTTAGATCTTCAAGATGTATTTTTTCTCCTTTTAAGTTAATTACTCTTAACCCCTATAAGAGGGAGTATTATTCGGTTCCTTTCTAAGTCATGTGAGTGCAACTTTCTGTTAGATGTATTTAGCACGATGTCAAAACTAGGATACTTTAGCATTGATGTATATTAGACGGTATCCTTTGATTCTCAATATGCATCTTATCATTAGGAAGCATAAAAATATTTTGGAAAAGGTTCATGCATAAAAAACAAGTTTATTGGAAAAAATAACCTGTGTCGACACATACATGTTTTAGGTTGACACATAGAAGAAAAAATATTTCTATTTGACGACACATCTGTTTTTCAGGTTGACACATGTACTGCATTTTTCATCTAGTTTAGTACTATCCATTAATCATCCGAACACATGTTTAGGTATAGTATACTAATCACCGAAGGGTGAAGTCCACTCAAAAGGGGTCAAATTTTACACAAAAAAAAAGGGTTGGAACCAGGATGATTGTTGTTTCTAGTGGATTAATTGCATTTAGAAAAACAACACATGGGAGAAGTGTCCAAGTGTTCAAGATTGGCCTAGCTTGCTAAAGGTGTATAGAATTGCAAAAGAGACACATGTTGAGCGCGATGCTCCAGCATGATGGTCAGACATCTGGACCTTGTGCAACAGGCGTCAGATTGTTGCGTTTTAACACAATCTTTTGAGAATATTCAGTTATGTTTTATTGCTATTGGTTTAGCAATATGATTATATGATTTATTAGACAATTGTGAAGATTAAATTAATTTAAAAGAGATCTAAATTTGAATCTGTAACAAACTAAATCATATCTTTTTGTTGGAGATATTCAAGGAGAAAATCAAATATTCAACAGATTATGCAAAGATTCTGGACAAAATAATTGCATATCCACAAGGTAAAAGCCCAGAGTTATTTTTCTATATAAGGCTCTCAAACCTACATTTGAAAATAAACATTCACATTGAATATTCTAGAGTTCCAAGTTTTACAATAGTCCTTGTTATTTTTATGTACACCTCTATGTTTTAGTAACTTGGCATATAAGGTTTATCTAGTTGAATTGTAAATTCAACATTGTTATGTACACCTATATGTTTCTGTAACTTGGCATAAAAGACTTTTCTAGTTGAGTTGTAATATTTGAAATAATTTATTTTGTTAGATTGAAGTTGATCACTAGGGTTTAGTGATTGTTATCTCCTATCACGAGTTGTGTGATAGAGAAGAAAGTGATTATGTTCTTATGCTTTAGAGGAGGATCTAAATAGAAAATCATTGGGTAGTGTAAGGAAGAGACATTTAATAACATAGGTTTGTTATTGCTTGTATGTCTAATTGTATTAAGTTACTAATAATGAATTTCCTTTCTTGTGTTGTGGACTCATCCCCCCAGACGTAGGTGAAAATATGTCTAAAGAAAAGTTTGCCAGAAAGATTCTCAGATCATTACCTAAGAGGTTTGATATGAAAGTGACTGCTATTGAAGAAGCTCAAGATCTAAGTACTATAAAGATCGATGAACTCATTGGTTCTCTACAAACCTTTGAGATGCCCATCAATGACAGGTCAGAAAAGAAGAACAAAGGTATAACCTTTGTATCCAACACTAAGGAAGTTGGAAGTCGAGATAATAAAGAAGAGATCTTGGCAAATGATACAACTATTCTTGGAAAAAATTCAACAATTCCTTGAAATTTTTGGACAGAAGTGGAGGACAAATGCACAAGACAAGAGGTCAAGCTTCATTGCCCAAAACTAAGGTAGAAGTGAAGATAAACCAAATGATGGCAAAGGCATTTAGTGCTTTTAATGTGAAGGATTTGAACACTTTAGAGAATAATGTCTTATCTTTCTGAAGAATCAAAAGTAGGGGTTGTCTGTCGCTTGGTCAGAATCTGATGATGAAACCGAAGGGTAAGGATCAACTAAGGTCAAAGCATTCACTGGAAAATATGATTCTAACAGTAAGTCTGATGAAGAAGTTTTGACTACAAAAGAGCTTATTGAGTTCTTTAGAGAATTACTTACTAAATGGAATGCTTCCTACTTAAGAGAAGAGAAATATAAGAAGACTATAAATACTCTTCTCCAAGAAATGAGAATCTTATGTCAACCATCTCTGGTTGGAAGAAAAGGGTAGACTGTTCAAGACCAAAACTAACAAAATACCTGAATTTGTTCACCTGATAAACAAAAATTCAGATGTTGATGTCTTGAAAGGAAATTTTGTAGGATTTGACTACATTGTCATAAACAAAAAGTTTAAATTTCCTTATAGGAAGAAAACTGAGTTTAAAATGTTGGACAACGTGTCTCAGCATCATGCTCGACATGTGCATCCTCATCACATGAGTTATAGAAACTCTGATAGAAGATGTGATCACTATGATATATGTGGACACATAAGGCCTAATTATTATAAATATATGGTTATCCTCAACCTCATAGTCAACCTAGGCCCAAGAGAAAAGAAAATATAGTTAATTTGAAGAAGGTGTGAAAACATAAAAGGGAAGTTCTAAGTCTCATACCTCACGCATCCCTTATAGAGTATTTTAGAGAGGATTGATACTTTGATAGCGGTTGTTCCAGACACATGACAAGAGAAACTTTTTATCTTGAGATAAAACCCAACTCAAACAATTATGTCATTTTTGGTGATGGTTAGCATATTATTTTAAGTTTTTAATTGTATTAAAAGAGTTTTTAAAATTTTATTGTTGAATTATAATATAAACAAATATGTATAAATAAATATTTTTACCTTATTGAATTATAATATATAGAGTGAGATAAAATTAAAAATTCTTATATTTAAATGTAATTTAAAATTATTTATATTTAAATAGCACAAATAATTTATAATTTTTTTTATCATTTTTGATAATTCTCTATATTTTTAATAATATCCCATCCGAACACACTATTAAGAGCATCTTTAGTGGGAGTAAACTAAATGGGTAAACTAAGATACTTTTTGTGAGCCCAAAGTGATTTGTAGGATTTAAAAAATTTATAGTTGATTTGAGTAGTTTTTACTTTAATGGTGGTTGTCTATAAGAAACCAAAACTTGACCCCACATTTTATATTTTTTATTCAAGTTACCATTAATTTAATTATTTTAATTAAAATACATATAATTTTTTAAATAAAATTTACCTTAAAAACTTAAAAATAATATTAAATATATTATTATAAAATTAAAAATGATACAAAATTCACAACAATAATATATAAAAAAAAATTACATTTTCATAGAAATATAATTATAATAAGGATTCGATTGATTGGGATCCATTTGATAAATAAATAAGATTGAAAATTGAAAGAAAAAAATTTAGAAGTAAAACTGTGTGTAAAAAAAATTAAAATTTCTATAGAATTTATAGAAGGTAAAAAATGATAATATCACCGTTACTATTTTCAAATATCATATCCTTACTTTAATGTTGTTGGAATATTTAGAATATTTTATTAATATTAAATTAATATTATAATATGTTTCACATAGTTAAACTATATAGATAATGGAAACTAAATTTTAGTTCATTTGAATGTCATATCAGCTCTCCTATAATGCAAATTCCTTATTACTAATTTTGGTTTAACAACCCTACCTTAAAGTTGCTCTAAGTGTATTATAGTTGTTCACCAATTGAAATTATTATTATGTATGTTTTAATTTTTGATTGAAACAAATTTAAATGAATTGAACTCAAACAAATTAATTTTTTTAATTTGATTTCTATATAATAATAGAATATACTTATTTAGCGCGTTGAGATATAAGGAAATAATCAAATAACAGTAAAATATTTAATAGATAAAATAATTTATAAACAATTTATTTAGAAAAAATAAACATCAAATAAAAAAATCACAATAGTCTTAAAATAAAAAAAATATTTTCATTAATTATCAAATTATTGTCGTGAATTGCACTAAATAAAAACATCCATAAATAATGTTGGCGGTTACCAAAACTAAACATGTTTACTTAGAGCAACTTTAATGCAGGGTTGTTAAACCAAAATTCTTTATAGCTTACGTTAGTAATAAGGAATTTGCATTATAGTAGTACTGACATGGCATATGGGATGCTCTAAAACTAGTTTACGTGCTCTACACAAGCAACGCACTCTAACTCATCATTTAACAAAAATAATACATTTTTATTAATTATTTAAGATAAATAATAGATTTTTATTAACCATTTAATACCATGTGGGGTCAAGTTTTAGTTTCTTATAGACAACCACCATTAAAGTAAAAACTACTCAAATCAATTATAAATTTTTTAAATCCTACAAATCACTTTGGACCCACAAAAAGTATCTTAGTTTATCCATTTAGTTTACTCCCACTAAAGATGCTCTTATGTGTGAACACAAACAAGACTAAAATAAGAAAATCAATACACACAAAAAAAAAAAGAAAAAAGTCTATACCAATAACGAGCCATGTTTATCCACATGGCATATTTTAGTTTGTATAAACAGTGGGTCCCACATTTAGTGTCATGAACCATCCAATAGCAAGTAACAACAGTACATTGAACTTGAATAATCATGAAACGACGTCGTTTCACCGTCAGCATTTTATGTCTATCGTTCCTTTTATGCCTTATAAATACATGTTCGAGGAAATGTTATGCATACTAAATTGCTTTCAAAGTCATTGTTAGTATTACAACTACATACATATTTTGTCCTTAGTTTATTCCAAATTTTTTCTTTGATTTTATCATCGTATAAACATAAATTACAATGTGTGGTATACTTGCTGTTCTTGGTTGTTCTGATCCCTCTCGAGCCAAAAGGGTTCGAGTGTTGGAGCTTTCACGCAGGCAATTATTCTCTTCTTATTTATTTTCTTGATTCAATGCTTCACACATGATGTTTGTTTTTTGTTTATGATCATAAAAAGTTCTTGATCACATTAGTGATCATGTTCTTCATTGTTAATTAATTATTTGACTTACATTTCGGACTTTCTAAAAACACCGGGTCAATAAATTCTACACCATCAATAAATCATCGACATATAAAATAAATCAATCCATTAACCTACATTAAATTACACTAGTATTTTAAAATTACGTTGATGAGGTGACATACCGTTAATTTAGATATTAATATTATCATTTTGGATCAAAAATTGTTGTGGGACCCAAATGACATAATCAGTATTCCTTATTTCAACCGTCATAGTTGTTAATTAGAATAAAAAAATCAACACGTCATATTCTATAATAAAAATAACCAATGATTGATTTTTTAAAAGTAATTTTATAATTCAATTTGGTAACTTTATTTTGGGTTTTCATGCCCGTCAAGTTATATTAAACAACAATAGTTTGACAAGATAAGGTGGCAACATTAATATTATTCCGATCACATCACTAATTGTTTATTAATCAGGACAAAACAAGTGGTATGTGGGGTCCATTTCGAAATGGAATTATTGATAAACTTGTAGTGGAAAGAACTATGAACAATTCAAAGTGGGTAAATAATTGTAGAACTATATTCTTTTTTTTCGCTTACACTAATATTTATTCGAATATAAAATATATACTGAAAGTTACATTTTTCATGCTTAATACAAGAATATTATTTTTATTGATTGATTATTTGTTTGTTGATGATGTAACAGATTGAAGCACCGTGGCCCTGATTGGAGTGGGCTCCACCAACATGGTGACTGTTTCTTGGCACACCAACGGTTAGCCATAGTTGATCCTGCTTCTGGTGATCAACCACTCTTCAATGAGGACAAATCCGTCATTGTCACGGTATGCCATTAACATGATCATATTTTCAACCTCAATTATACCATATGTAGCACCATATTTTGGCCCGTTTGGTATCTAATACTGATACCGACACTGACACGTCTGTGTTGATGTGTGTATCATATCAACGTGTTTCTGAGATTATATGTTATGATAGTGAAGTTTGGATAATATATATGTTGTTACTGAAAATCAGGTAAATGGAGAGATTTACAATCATGAAGATCTTAGGAAACAACTTTCTCATCACACGTTTAGAACTGGAAGTGATTGTGATGTTATTGCGCATTTGGTAATTAGTTTTGATTTATTTTGATAATTTGTTCGGTTTAGATTCATGATGGAAGTGTTTGTTACTTATGTTAATTTTGTTTCGATAGTATGAGGAATATGGAGAAGACTTTGTGGATATGTTGGATGGTATATTTTCGTTTGTTCTATTGGATACTCGCGACAACAGTTATATTGTGGCTCGAGATGCGATTGGTGTAACTTCTCTATACATTGGTTGGGGATTAGATGGTAATGTTATGTATATTATTGGATTTTTAGTTTTTGGAATGTGAAGAAATTTGAATTGAGAAGTTTTGAATGTGTTTGGATTCAGGTTCGGTTTGGATTTCATCAGAAATGAAAGGTTTGAACGATGATTGTGAACATTTCGAGTGTTTTCCACCTGGTCATTTGTACTCTAGTAAAGATAGCGGCTTTAGAAGATGGTATAATCCTCTATGGTACTCTGAGGCTATTCCATCGGCTCCTTATGATCCTCTTGCTTTGAGGCATGCCTTCGAGAAGGTATGATTCATAAAGATCTTATCACCAAAGTTCGTAAACTTGTTTATGTTATCGAATGACGCGTTGATTGTGATTTACAGGCGGTGAAAAAACGTTTGATGACTGATGTGCCTTTTGGTGTTCTACTATCCGGAGGTTTGGACTCGTCGTTGGTTGCATCCATCACTTCTCGCTACCTAGCAACCTCGAAAGCTGCTGAGCAATGGGGATCAAAATTACACTCATTCTGTGTTGGACTTGAGGTGCACATATATAGAAATATGCTTTTTCTATATTGTTTATTCTGTAACATAGTACATGAGTATTTATAGAATATAAATTACACTAAGAAATAGGGGTAATTATTCTCCCTATAAATGCTAATCCTAAATAAGGTAAGAATATAATAATACAATTAATTTCTATTTAATCACAATTTGAATCCAGCCATAATGAGCTGTATGACAGAATCTGTTTTGATTTTGTGCTAATATTCAACACTCCCCCTCAAGCTGGCATGAATATATCGTTCATAGCAAGCTTGCACACCATGTTATCAAACAGTCTCTTTGGAAGACTCTTTGTGAGAACATCTGCTACTTGACTTTTGGTAGGTATGTAGGACATACAAATCTCACCGCTGTCAATTTTTTCTTTGATGAAATGCTTGTCCACTTCAACATGCTTCGTCCTGTCATGTAGGACAGGATTATGGGCAATAGAAATAGCAGCCTTATTATCGCAGTAAACTTTAATTGGAGTTGGGCCAAAGAACTTCAATTCTTCCATGAACTTTTTGATCCATAATACTTCACAAAAACCATGGGCCACAGATCGGAATTCAGCTTCTGCACTGCTCCTGGCTACAACATTTTGTTTTTTGCTCCTCCATGTAACTAGATTTCCACCTACAAAAGTACAATATCCTGAGGTAGACCTTCTATCATTTATATTACCTGCCCAATCAGCATCTGTATAGGCTTCAACCTGTATATGTCCTCTATTTCTGAATATCAGCCCCTTTCCCGGAGTACCTTTCAAATATCTTAATATTCTGAAAATAGCTTCAAAGTGGGCTGCACCTGGTGCATGCATAAATTGGCTTATTACACTCACTGCAAAGGCTATATCTGGCCTTGTATGTGACAAATAAATTAGTCTTCCAGCCAATCGTTGATAACGTTCTTTATCTACTATTTCATCTTCAGCAACTGACTTTAGTTTCACATTGGGATCCATTGGTGTTTCTACTGCTTTAGACCCTGTCATCCCTGTTTCTGCAAGTAAATCGAGTATGTACTTGCGCTGGTTGAGAAAAATACCTTCTTTAGATCTTGCGAACTCCATCCCAAGAAAGTATTTTAACTTTCCAAGATCCTTGATATCGAACTCAGCCTCAAGTCTTCTCTTCAGATCACTAATTGCTTTGACGTCATCTCCTGTAATAATAATTTCATCAACATACACTATTAAGATAGCAATCTTACCTTCAGATGAGTGTTTAAAGAACATAGTGTGATCTGCTTGACTTTGGGTGAAACCGTGTCTCTTAACAACACTTCCAAATCTCTCAAACCAGGCCCTTGGCGATTGTTTCAATCCATATAAGGATTTTCTCAATCTGCATACTTTGTTTCTTCCAAGATTTTTTTCGAATCCAGGAGGTAAACTCATATATACTTCTTCATGTAATTCACCATTCAAGAAGGCATTTTTAACATCATATTGATATAGTGTCCAGTTGAAATTTACTGCAAGAGAAAGAAGAATTCTGATAGAATTGATTTTAGCAACTGGGGCAAAAGTCTCTTGGTAATCAATACCATGAGTTTGAGTAAATCCTTTTGCTACTAATCTCGCTTTGTATCTTTCCACACTTCCATCAGCCTTGCATTTCACTGTAAAGACCCACTTACACCCTACTGCCTTTTTATCTTGTGGTAGATCAGTGATACTCCAAGTGTTATTTTTGTTTAGAGCATCCATCTCTTCTTTCACTGCTAATTTCCAATTCGGATCACTTAATGCTTCCTGAATAGTTCTGGGCACAAACAAATTAGAAATCCTAGACACATATGCCTTATGGGTGTGTGATAGTTTGTCATATGACAAGTAATTAGACATAGGATGTTTAGTGCACATACGAGAACCTTTCCTCTCAGCAATTGGGACATCGAGGTCAGGAATATTTTTTCTCACAGAAATTGGAAGATTAATATCAGGAAAAGACAAATCAGATAAATCATTGGATGAGTAAGAAGGATTACCAGATGAAGAACTAGAAGACAGGTTATCTGTAGGACCTTCACTTGGTAAATCAGATTGGATTTCTACTGGAGAGACAATAGGGTTTGCACCACCTTTGTGGAATTTTTTTCGAACATACACTTTAAGTTCAGGATTATCATCCTTAATCAGTGTTTCTCCCCCTGTTTCAGATTCTATTATCTTAGCATTTGGGTGATTTGTAGTCACAATATCATCTAGAGCAGGCAAAGTTTCCCAAAAATTATCTTCTTTATTATTACATTGACTCTCCCCCTGAAGAGAATTTTTAAAAAAAGGTTGATTTTCAACAAAGTGAACATCCATGCTTTCAAAAAATTTCTTTGTAACTGGGTTAAAACATTTGTATCCCTTTTTATTGGAAGCATAGCCAAGAAAAACACATTTTTCGGCTTTAGGATCCAACTTAGAACGAAAAACATTGGGGATGTAAACATAACAAAGACAACCAAAAATTTTAAGGGGAAGATCCGTAATAATACGAGATGTAGGAAAATTGTTTTGTAACACTTGTACAGGACTTTCATATTGTAACACCCGAGATGGCATTCGATTGATGAGGTGACAAGCAGTTAATAAAGCATTTCCCCAAAGATACTTAGGTACATTCATAGAAAACATAATAGCTCTAGTGACTTCGAGGAGATGTCTATTTTTTCTTTCAGCAATACCATTTTGCTGCGGAGTATCGCGACAAGTGGATTGATGAATTATCCCCTTAGTTACAAGGAATGTACTTAAATATTTGTTGAAATATTCAGTGCCATTGTCAGACCTTAGAATGCCAATCTTAGTTTGAAATTGATTGTTAATCATGTTAAAAAAATCTTGAAATCTTTGTTCAACTTCTGATTTTTTCTCCATGAGATAAACCCAACACAGCCGTGTATGATCATCAATAAATGTTACAAACCATTTTTTTCCAGACATAGTTTTAATTTTTGAAGGACCCCAAACATCACTGTGAATTAAATAAAAAGGTTTAGAAGCAGAATAGGCTTTTGATTTAAAAGACACACGATGATCTTTAGCTAAGTGACAAGCTTCACAATGAAATTGTGAGGAATTTATTTCTTTGGAAAAAATAGGAAACAAATGCTTAAGATATGAAAAACTAGGGTGACCTAATCTTTTATGCCATAACATAATTTGATCTGAAACAGGAGATGCGTTTGTACTGTTTGAACCGAAAAACGCTTTATTGCCAAACTGAATTCCATCAAGGTAGTACAATCCATTCATCTCTCTAGCAGTTCCAATCGTCTTCCCCGAGTTCTGGTCCTGAAAAACACAAGTAGAGGGACGAAAAAGAACAGAACAATTAGTGTCCTTAGACAATTTATGAACAGATAGAAGATTACAAGCGAATTTAGGAACATGTAAAACAGATTGCAAAGTGATTTGCTCTGAAATTTTTATGCTGCCTTTGCCTGCAATACTTGAATAACTACCATCAGCTATCCTAACTTTTTCAAAACCTGAACTAGGAAAATAGGTACTGAATAGATGAGAGCAATTAGTCATGTGTTCAGATGCCCCTGAATCTATTATCCAAGGGATAGAGTGGTTGTGAGCAGATAGTGCCCAAGAATCCTTACCTGTTTGTGCCACAGTTCCAGTAGGGATATTAAGAGATGAATTGGACTTTAGAAACTTAAGAAGGTTATCCATTTGCTCCTTCGTACATGGAGACGAATCAGCCTCATTGGCCATAGGCATAGGACGATCACCAAACTTACCAGCCTTGCCATGATTTGGTCGCCCATGTAGTTTGTAGCAAGTTTCCCGAGTGTGGCGATTGCGCCCACAGTAATCGCAAAATAAATGAGTCTTGTCTCCACCTCGTTGATTATGAAGTGGTTTACGATTGACATGGGGAATTGCCAAGGCAGATCCTTCAACTGGTGGAGGGACAGCTGCTGTATTTTTTCCAAGCATCACTTGCCGACGACTCTCTTCGCGACGTACTTCTGAAAAGACTTCACCAATTGGAGGGATAGGATTTCTGCCTAGAATTCGGCCACGAACCTCATCAAAATCAACATTTAGACCCGCAAGGAACTTGAAAACACGACTAACATCCACCATCTTCTTGTAATGTTTGCTATCGGCAGGTGATTTCCACTCATACTCATTGAAAAGGTCCAAATCTTGCCAAATACGTTTGAGACAATTGAAGTATTTGGTGACTGAATCTTCACCTTGCCGAATTTCTCCCAATTTGAGAGTTAATTCGTAGATTTGGGATTGATTTTCCAAATCAGAGTACATTTGGGAGACACCTTCCCAAAGTTCTTTTGCAGTATCATAACAGAGATAATTTGCACCTATCTCTTCATGCATGGAGTTGACTAACCATGTCATGACCATGGAGTTTTCAGCATCCCATGTATCATAATCTGCACCTGCCTTGTCTGGTTGTTTTTTGTCGCCAGTAATGTAGCCAATCTTTCCTCTCCCCCTGAGATACATACGAACGGATTGCGACCATCGAAGATAATTAGCACCGTTCAGCCGAATTGTTGTGATCTGAACAGGGTGGTTTTCATGGTACGTTCGGACTAATTTAGGTTCGGGTGAGGAATGTTTGGGTGAAAGTGAGGACTCGGTATCAGACATTGTGGGATGTAAAAAAGATAAACAGAGCGGAAGCAAAAACAAAAAAAAACCCTAAAGGATTCTTGTTGCTACTGATACCATATAGAAATATGCTTTTTCTATATTGTTTATTCTGTAACATAGTACATGAGTATTTATAGAATATAAATTACACTAAGAAATAGGGGTAATTATTCTCCCTATAAATGCTAATCCTAAATAAGGTAAGAATATAATAATACAATTAATTTCTATTTAATCACAATTTGAATCCAGCCATAATGAGCTGTATGACAGAATCTGTTTTGATTTTGTGCTAATATTCAACAACATATTTATTCAAATCTACGAATCACTTTTGTTAACTTTCGGTATTTTAAATCGCGTCTTAATATTCGATTTTCTAATGTTGAGTAGGGCTCACCTGATCTTAAGGCTGGAAAAGAAGTTGCTGATTATCTCGGAACTGTTCATCATGAGTTTACCTTTACTGTTCAGGTAACACAGCCTTAAATCGATGTTCGATGGCTACTTCAATATTCGAAATCAAGATTATGAAATGAATAATCTATGGTGTTATGTTATGTTATGTAGGATGGTATAGATGCAATTGAGGATGTTATTTACCATGTTGAAACATATGATGTGACTTCAATTAGAGCAAGCACACCTATGTTTCTTATGTCAAGGAAGATTAAATCACTTGGTGTCAAAATGGTGATCTCTGGTGAAGGATCTGATGAGATCTTCGGCGGATATCTGTACTTTCACAAGGCACCAAACAAGGAAGAGTTTCACCAAGAAACTTGCCGCAAGGTCATTAGAATTATCGTGTTCAGGATTAATACACGGTTTAAGGGGTTGGAGTGTAACGATTAATAGTCGTGTTTTTTTATATGCAGATCAAAGCCCTTCACCAATATGATTGCCAGAGAGCTAATAAATCGACTTCTGCTTGGGGTCTAGAAGCTAGGGTTCCGTTTTTGGACAAGGCGTTTATCAATGTTGCGATGAATATTGATCCCGAGAATAAAATGGTATCGATAATGAATGTTACTATGTTGTTTCAATACTTGTACAAGAATGTTACTAAGCTGGTTTATTTAAAACTTTCAGATAAAACGAGATGAAGGACGAATTGAGAAGTATATTTTGAGGAAGGCCTTTGACGACGAAGAGAATCCTTATCTGCCAAAGGTACGACGTAACTTTTCTACATTATCAATTGATTTATGCGAAGTTAAGTGGCGAAACTAACATTGAAACATTTGATTTCATGCAGCATATTTTATATAGGCAGAAAGAACAATTCAGTGATGGTGTGGGTTATAGCTGGATTGATGGTCTTAAAGCTCATGCTGCAAAACATGTATAATTAATCCGACGTTTTTCCTCTTCAATAAAGCTATGAAGTTTTCTATCGTTACAAAATTTGTGTTCCTTATTATTGATTCTTGAATTTTTCATTAGGTGACCGATAAAATGATGCTTAATGCTGGTAATATCTTCCCGCACAACACACCAAACACAAAGGAAGCGTACTACTACAGAATGATCTTCGAGCGTTTCTTCCCTCAGGCAAGATAACCAATCAATTCTTCTTAATTTGTTGTAACCATACACATTGTAGCACTGGTTACATTTAATCACTTCTATTTTCTTAACTTATTACTAGTGTTTATTTTCGTGTTAGTATCAGTATCGTATTTGGTGTCTCTGAGAGTACTTCATTGACCATAAGACAGTATAGTTTAAAGTTTTGATTCAAAATTGGTATGTTTTGATATTGTTTTGCAGAACTCGGCAAGGCTAACTGTTCCCGGAGGACCAACGGTTGCATGTAGCACAGCAAAAGCTGTTGAGTGGGATGCTGCTTGGTCAAACAACCTTGATCCTTCTGGTAGAGCAGCACTCGGAGTTCATGATTCGGCTTATGAAAACCAGACCAAAGTCAACAAAGCTGTAGAATTTGAGAAGATTATACCACTGGAAGCCGCTCCTGTCGAGCTTGCCATCCAGGGCTAGTTTCAGCCATGGCAAGGAATGACTGTGCTAGAAGAATGAAGATAATAATTGAAAACTTAACATAAATGAAGAATTTGCCTTCTGTTTAATTTTATTTGGGGCAAAACAATGCTATATAATATAGATAATGCTTTAAATAAGTATTGCATCTTGTATCATTTTGAATTCTGTAATCTGAACTGTTATCTTATCTTAATCTATTTGATTTCCAAGCTATGTGTTACCTTGTACAAATTGCATAATGTTTTATAATACTGATAAAATTAGTTAATAGAATAAAGCAACATAGAGAAGTTGATTCCAAGTATCAGGCAAACCAGGAAGACACCAATGACTACAATCAGCCGAGTGATCCGGGTTAGCTCTCTGCTGAGGATTCAAATCACCGCTGTAAATGGAAGGGTGTCCATCTTTCCTCAATGCCGATAACATTGTGATGTCAAGAAGATACGCAGGATCACGCATTTCACGAATCACCATATCCACTATTCTCATCTGTTGTTCAGTGTATGTTTCTCCTACTCCATGGTTTGTTGTCGTGCCGCTGATTGGCGCTGTTTCGCCATAGCAATTCTTTTCTGTCATCATACTTGTTGTTCTACCAGCTTCTGCATTCCATTCATTTTGGCTACACGCGTATTTCAATGATCAATCCGAGCAAATCTTAGCAGAAATTTTGTTTAAAAATCATACATAACTTTTATAATAACTTACTTATAATGAGTAGGAGAAATTGCTTGAAATAACACTTGGGTTCTACTTCTGTCAATATTTGCATCCACCCAAGTAGCCCAAGTTTTCATACCACTTTCCAAAGCGCCCAATCGATCCATGTCAGGATAATATTCCCCTCTTAATTCTAGATAATCCCATCTGCACTCAATTAATCATCAAAAACAAATCAAAATATCAAATTTCTTATAGTGTTTTCTTGAACAAGCTTAAAAAAAGAACATATTCTTGCCTACCCTTGAAGTGATCCTTGATGAGTCCACCAATGTCCTGTGTTGAACAACAATACATCAGCACTCTTCCATGTGTTACCATTCTTATCTGCCTCATCAAGCCTCAATATTCTCTTCCCTTGGACCATATCCATATCCACCAAATAAGGAGCTCTGTGAAACGAAATCTTCACACCATAGTCCTGTATATATCAAATTAAATCCAATTTTAACCTCTTTTCTAAAATGTTTCTCTTGTTTTCATAATAATATTCTATAGGAAAAGTCACAAAAGTGATGTATGCAATATGTAACTATGTATCAAAATTCTTGAAAATGTTTTGGGCCCCCTCAGATGCATACTATTTAACTGGACCCTTATATCAATGATTCAATTGACACTATCTATCAAACACTTTTTCAACATCTTCTTTGTCTTATTATTACCAAAAAAAACATGACCCTACCCCTCTGTGATTCTCAATGAAACTTTACAAAGAGGGAAACAACTATTCTGCTGCTGGAAAGTTATCATGGTTAAAATTTTAGTAGCATGCGTTGGTGTCATGTCAGGTGTTGGACATGTAAGGTGAGGATTGCTCCCACGTAAAATTACGTGTTCATGTCATATATTGTCTAATGTGGAACTCGGAATATACCAATGATCATGATCACAATTCTAAAACTTGTTGTTAGCAATTAACTTAAAGCTCACAGATATGTTTTAAGACTCACCAAGAATGTGAAGGTGGAAAGAGGATCTCCACTGACTTGTTGTGTCAGTGATTGAGGTACTGCAGCAGATATCATACAAATCAAAGACTGCCATTGGTTCCTTCCTAACGAGTCACCAACAAACATTACAGTTTTTCCTCTCATCTTCATCAGAAACTCAACACCATTAAACCTACCATTACACAATGACACAAAAAACACCATAACTCAGAATATTCAAACTATACTATGAAACTACTACATTATCTAAAAATACAATCTTTTTTTGTTGTTCGTAAGCTCTGTACCTTGGGAGCTCACAATTGAGGGGTTTCCATCTGTATTTAAGGTAATCAGAATCAGGGCGACCGTACATTTGACAATTGAATTCTGGGTCTATGATGTCACAGCTAGAAGACTGATAAAAAGGGTAACTTTCATCATGAACCCAAGTGCCTACAAACAATGAACAAGTGCTTTGGTTGTTGTAAGATTTCAAAATGGGTTTTTGATGGTGAAAATGAGAGTGGTGGTGATGATGATGAAGAGAAGAAGCTTTTTGGCATTGAAGTGAAAGTATGAAAAGAAGAGAGAAGAATGAAGCGAAAACAGAAGAAAGAAGAGACATTGGTAGAGAGTAGAGGAAAGGGAAAACCAAAAGGTGTTAATAGAAGAGGTAACTGTTTTGAGAGAAAAGGTATAGAAATGGTGCTGAGGGAGAGAAAAAGTGCTATTTTTTTTTTTGTTGTGTGCATGTGAAGATGGATGAACGTGGTTTCAAATATGTAACTTTTTAAACCGGTTCAGTAAATTTGAGTTGTTGAAAATATATATATATATATATATATATATATATATATATATATATATATATATATATATATATATATATATATATATATGTGTGTGTGTGTGTGTGAGACAAACCTTAATTATTCAGTGTAATGGAAAATAGAAGAGAGTGAGCAAGTGGATTTAATGATAAAATAGGATGCATAGATATTAAATTGTGAAACTCATATTTATATAGTATTTGCTCCATCCTAAAGTAAATTACTTTTATGATTATTATGCCTATTTAGAAAAATGTATTTTATGGTTGAGTAATACATGTCATTATTTTAGAGGTGAATTTTAAATTAATTTTAATTGTTTTTTAATAAGAATTATGGGATAGTAGTGATAAAGAATGATTGAGATTTATTCTTGCATTTTTTGTTTTTACTTTTTCTTACGGATAAGCATTTTCTTTTATGTTTTCACATTTAAAAAATTGTCAAATTTTAATCTCTTTTTACATAAACCAACCTCCTGGGTTCTCTTTTTTCAATTTTTTTTGAGAAACTAGTCCACTCCAATTTAATATAACTCGTAATATTGTGTTGTGATTTTTAATAATATGACACTGCTGATGCGTCTAACACAATGTCATATTATTAAAACTATGAATTTTTGTATTTATTACGTTGAAGTTAATAAATAAAATAATAAACAAAAGGAAAATTAAGAAAGAATTCAAACCCTAAATTCATCAATATTATAATTTGAGTTTCGAATGGAACCAAATGTTCCATCATCTTCCTCCACACCCTTCATACTTGAGTTTCGATCGTCCATTCTCCTTCAAATCACATGCCTATTCCATTTCGTGTTACGTCTCATGATTCATCTCATTTAAAATCACGTGTCTCTTCCATCTCGAATGACAAATGAGAAATATAGTGGAAAACATGTAGTTATTTTGTTGTGCACTTATTTTGTATATAACGTGGGTGTTTTTTAGTAGCTTATATGGTCCCCCATTGTTTCTTGTTGTTGCCCTTTTATTTAATTTTTTTAATGGTCCTCTACGAATAAATTTTAACACTTAGTTTAAGAGTTGTGGTTAATGTAACACCCTATTTTTTCAATGCATAACTATAATTAAATCAGAGATTTTTCACAACATTTATACATAGGATGTTACACATCTCAAAACACACACTTGTTAATCATGTAACACTTAATTTAAATAAACATGCAACACTTGTTATTGCATGCTCGCCTTCACTTAGAGTATCATCACCAGTGAAAATACTCAATTAAAGCACACCAATCTAAATCTCATATCATAATTAAAAAGTATTGACTCGTAAGTCTTCTCCAAATGCTTACCACACCAAAGCATAAAATACGAGAGCATACATTATCTCTCATAAATCTCAACATAAAACAAAGAAATCGGTCACCAGTGTTACATATCTGAGCAGAATCAAAGCTAAAGTAAATAAATTAAAAGAAATAGCTCCAGGAACAAGCTTTCGCTCACAACATCGACTCTACTATTGAGTATTTGTACATTGCCCATGTAAAGACAACATTCAAATAGAAAGGGTGAGAAATCACATTCAATAATAGCATGCATATACTGCAAGATAGGATATCAGCACATATCATAATCTACACAATCTCAAATCATAGTGTATCAATTACAATCTCATATCCAACACATCAATTAATCACAACTCAACAAATATACATATAACTCGTTATGCAATGCAACTCGACTATGCATAGGTATGTGGTACAAACTCAACATTTAATTCTCTCAAGAACCAGATCCTCTCTCTAAACCCATGAGCCCCCCTCAGAGCTTGGGGTAAGCCATTAGTCCTCTCTCTGAACTAGCATATGTGCCTCTGGACACAACTCGTATGATGCATGAGTGTTATACCCCAAATTTTGACCCCTAGATCACATCATTATTCTAGGAGCATCAAAATTGAGTATCTAACCAAAACCTATTTCAAGCTTGATCTTTGTCAAGATACAGATGAATTAGGGTTTCACATAGTCAGAAATCAGGGTTTCAAGGGATTGATCAGTCAAAGTTTTGGATTGACCCTACATATATCTAGTCTTCATGTCATCAAGGATATCATATTGGATCAATAATGAATCCAATTTGAGGTTGTCACCCAAGAAAGAAGAACAGTGCAGTGCAAGAACCCTAATTAGGGTTTCTAATTGGAAAAGTCAACTGTAGTTTGACTTTTAATCTAAAAGGTGTTCCAAAGTTTGAATCATGGTCCATGAGGCTTATATGACCCAAACAAAGTCTACCCAAGAAGTTTCAAGGCCTCAGAGAACCCAGGACACCAACAGTCGATTAAAAAATTTTCGATCGTTCGGTTCGTCTGACTGAAAAGTCAACCCATTGAACAACAAGGTTTTAACCCAAATTTGAAGCCAAATTTGTTCCCAACATCATTTAATATCTAACCATGAAGTTTGATGACCAATTGATCAAGAATTGAGAAGTAATCAAAAAGTCGGGAAATTAGGGTTTTAAAAAGGACCAGGTCATAACTCCTTAACCACACATCCAAATGGAACGGTTCAAAGCTTGTTGAAAAGGTTTCAATGAGTTATTCAAAAGTGGTACAGGCACTCATAAGCATAAAATGCGTGGAGTTTGAGTTATGAGCAAAAACAAGGCAAGAGGGGGAAAATACACTTAAAAATTTCAAGAATTCTTGACTTGTAAGTCAAGTTTTCAGCATTTTCACAAGGGTTTTTAACCCAGTTTCAAGTGGAATGGGTTCCTAAATAAAACATCAATGTTGTATTACCTAATGGGGGCTTTCCAAAAAGTACAAGTGGGTTCCATTAGTCTTCATGGTTAGAGATAACTAAGGTCCACAAGTTGGCAAAAACTCACTTTTGCAAAACCAACTCAGCATGAGCAAGTTGATTCCAAAGCTTCCCAAATAAACTCTAATCAAGGACTAAGCCTCATTTCTGATGTTTATATTGTTAATGAACATGTTTAAAACCATATCCCACGAGCTTGGCACAAGAAATGAAGAAATTCATTGTTTAATGCAAGTTGTAAAAGTGAATAGTGAAGAAAGAGAAAAATGGTGGCTACCATCATCAAACCACCAACTTTGCTGCAACTAGTCACCTCTTATCCCCTATACCATGATGAAAATGACCTATAGGGTATGTATAAACTCTTGTTAGGGTGGCTCAAGGTCAGAAATGAAGATTGCATTGAAAAACTCCAAGATTTTTAAAGTTACAAGGCTAAACTTGGCAATTTGCAACATTCTGCCTATACCTCTTGCTCAATTCCTCTCCCTATAAATTGAACCTCATTATTACATCACAAACACACCATTTACATGCTAAGAACCAGCTGAAACTATTCCTCCCACTCAATCTCAAGTTCTTGCAAAGTTTGAATCAAGTTTCAAACCACTTCAAAATCTGTCTTGCATTTTCTCCCCTAAAACCATTTCCAAACATCCTCAAACTCAAAAAAAACTTCAAACACATCACAAATGGTGTGTTAGAGCTATCCAAACCCTCACCTTAGCCAGAAACCCATCCAAACCAAAAGTCAACCCTCAAAAGCTCATTTATTGACTTTTTCTGCATTTTGAAGGGTGGCCTTCAAACCATTGCATTTCCTTGAGGTTTGAGACCTTTAACACTTCATAAACAACATATATAAACTATACATAATGGTTCCAAACTTCTATAACAAGAATTGAATGAGTTGGCGTCGCAATGCAAAAAATAACCGACAGAAAAACAGAGTCGCCACCGGACTTTATTTATCCCAACAGGGAAAGGAAACATCGAAAAAACCTCAAAAGGGAGAAGACATGGTCTCTTAATAAATCTTAGACTCGGGAGTCGATTACGCGAGAGGAAGGTATTAGCACCCCTCATGTCTGTTGTACTCAACGGGATCCACTCTTGTTGTTCTAATCAATGAGTGTGTGTATCTAAAGCCTACTGCTAAACAGAAACTAAACAAAAGGTAACTCGATAAGACATGGATGTCCTATGCCTACATATTCCCCTGTATAATGGGAAAGTCAGAGTCAACGTAGTTCGGAGGATTACAGGTCATTGGGGGGATTGTGCTCGCCAAGACATCACTGTCTTGTGCCTACGTATCCTCATTGGGACGACAAAGAGGAAGTCAGAGCAGTCTTAGTTGGATCTACCATGGGTTGATTGGTGTCTTTTATGAGCGATGCTAAGCTCACGTTCCAGCAGTTAGGGTCGATTCCTGTTTGCGGTAGAACAGAGGTAACATGCCCTTTCTGAAAAGGTTTTGACGAAACATCCTGAGAGAGAAAAATGGTTTGAGTTTGTTCAATGATTTTAGAGAAGTGGATTGACTTTATTTGTTACGTGTACCATACTAAAGTCTATGACATAGGAGCAAGTACTTCGCGCTATGTTAGAACAGTTTTCGAGTATCGGGGTTTGTTATCGTCTCCACAGGGAATCTGTGATATTGCCGTCGTTCGACATTTGTTAATTTCTTAACTTATAGTAACAAGGGGGTTTTGGTTTTTCGTTACGGTAGCTTGCATCAAAAGAAGTAATAAACTGCGGTAAAAGTTTTGGTTTTACGATTTAAGAAATATTGTCAAAGTTAGGGTTCGACGATCACTTTGCATGTATATGTTCGATTAACAAAACTCATAAACTCCGTTAGATGATAAACACATTCAAAATATCCTCTCAATGTGTTTATTTCTAACACACATTGTGGTTTTTCCCATTTTGATCCATTGTTGATTTCTCACACAATCTATCAAAATGATAACTTTTAGGTTTTGATAT